CTTATATTTATGCAGTAGTGCCCTGGGACTAAGGCAATACAGTATGCTGAGCAGCTGGCAATGATGCTGCAGCTACGCTTTGCAACATCTGAAAAGTCACATTGAGAAAAATAATAAAAGAAGCACGCAACCCAGCACACAGTGTTGGGACACTCCTGAGGCCTGAATGTGCTACAGTGCAAGCGGGATCACAAAGAAATTCAGCTTTGATTTTGGATTGTGTTTATTTGTCTTGTGGTTTTGAGAAAGTTTGAACAGCCTTCGATCGTGATAGGTTTGAATTACTCTTAGGATGGAAAAAAGGGGGCACATTTTCCAAATGTAGGATTTCCACTTTTATACACGCACACAGATCAGTATGGGTTCTTGGAGGTGTGATCCATGATGGACATCAGAGCCAGCCAAGTCTCCTGAGCGGTGGGGATGATCTGAGATGCAGGAAGGAGGAAGCCATAGCGGCCAGTGTCCCTCAGCTCAAAGGTGTAGGAGTACTTGATGCCCTGTTCGTAGGTCCAGTCAATGGTGTTACCACTGGCTTGGTCTAAAATTAAAACAGGCATTGTTAAAACAATGAAACGGTACTGTAAAAAAAAAAAGAAAAAAAAACCGGAGATCCTTAAAAAGCTTTTAATTTCAAGGCAATAATGTTTAAATAAAAAAAAAAACCTTGCACCAGTTGTACATTTAATTTTAGCACAGTTTATACTTATGCATGAGTGGTGGTTGGTTGGTTCATAAACACCAAAAAACTGTCTGAAGTACAGACCTGTGTCGTTTTACTTTTATAAAAATGGCTACAATTTAAAGCAGGTTTGAGATCCCTGCCACAAATTTTTTATATGCACTATTTAATACCACTATATTTGCATTTGAAGAAATTAAAGTTATAGGAAAAGAAGCGAAATTTCCATATATCTGGTCATTATTAGGCGAAATAATGTAAAAGAAGTCTGTACTGGTAAGCAGTGTTGCTTAAACTTACAGATAGTATCAATGATGCTGCCGTATGTGTATTTGGTACCATACAGGGAGGTTAGATCACTGATGGCCTTTTGAGCCACCTTGTGCTGTAGAAAGAATATTATCATACTTTTTAATAAGGACTTTTGACAGAGCCCAAAGAAGATATAAGAACTATCATAAAAATAAGAATTCTAAAGAAAGAAGTTAAATCAGAAAGATCTTTTTTATACCAGTTCTGCCGCGTCATTGGTAGGAGTTCTTTTGTAGCCATAGGGATACATGAGCATCTGAGAGTAGGAGTGGATGGAGATGAAGGCCTTGATGTTGCCATGAGACTTCACGAAGTCCACAATAGACTTGACCTCAGACTCAGAGTGTGCACTGGGTCCACGATAGGTTTCTGAGCAGGGGTTGCTGCTGGCACCAGGTTCTATTTATTAATATAAAGAAAACCAGACAAACAGACACTGTAGTAAAGCATTAGAACGTAAAAATATGAAAGACTTATAAGCAATACACACACACACACACACACACACACACACACACACACACACATATATATATGATCATTATTACCTCATACAGTGGCTGTTAGAGGCTTTAAATACAAGTGAATGGCAGGGGAAAATATTACCTCCAAAACCAGCATCCCAGTTCCTATTGGGATCAACTCCCACACAAGAAGAACCAGGATTGGGCTTCCTGGTCTTACGCCACATACGATTCTGAAACAGTAATGTTAGTCTTTGCTTAAAGAAAGATATTTTAATCTAAATGACTCAAAATTGTATTCATTGTGCAAAACCGACTAAATACACCATTACTAATTCATCTGTATCATCTTGTCAGCTTAAGCTAATTGGGATAAGCCCTGAAAAAAATGTTTAAAAGTAAAATGAAGGTTATAAACAGACATTTGGTTGTACAGCAAATTACTCTAAAACAAATCAGACAGTAGACAATATGAAAGACTCACACCGCTGTGGGTGAAGGCGTATCCATCAGGGTTGGTGGCAATCTCCAGGAAGATGTCCATTTGACTGAGGATTGCAGTGAGGGCAGGATCCGTTCCATAATCAGTCACAATCTAATGACAGGAAAGCAGAGGACACAATATTCAGTGCAACCTGTAAGTTGTGAGAAGCGGCAGAGACACAGACAAAAGCAACAAATGTTAATATTATTATTAAATAAAATAATTTAAAAAAAAAAAACCACCTTCTTAGCAAACCATAGCCCGCTGGCCTGAGTGACCCACTCTCTGGAGTGGATTCCAGTGTCGATCCAGATGGCAGGACGGTTGGTTCCACCAGTGCTGAACTACAAGACAGGAAAGGAAAGTAGCAAACTTCATTACAAATAAAAAATGAAGAGCAGCATGAGAGTGAAAACTCTTGCCAGAAGAGTATAGAAGGTTTTGCCTTTTTTAATTTTAATGTTCGTTCAGCTCTATTGTGCAGTTGTAGTTTTGCTTGTTTTTTTGTTTTTTTTTTAC